TGAACCGGCCCAGGCCCGCCTGCCGGTCCCGGGCTTAACGGTCCCGGGCTCACGGGCTATTTGGGTTGGACCGGCCCACTACGGACTTATGCATTACTAGAGACTGGGCCCGCTTGAACCGGCCCGTTTGGCCCGCGGTCCTGGGCCGGGCCCGGTCCACGATACAGTCACAATTACGAATTCAGGGCAACGTGTGTTGAAGCATTGAGTTGTCCCGGCCTATGTCATGATTTAACAAATTTAACTAATCGTGAGTAATTAAGGATATTTTGTTAAAGCATGACTCAATAATATTTGAATAAACTAAACAAAACCACTTACTTTAAATAATGAAAAAAATCGAGTACGAGTATCACCATAAAGAATTGGATCCACCTAGATCAATACACCATTCATTGTCAACTTTTGATACTCCTATCTATAGAATTAAAGCAAGAAAAGGGGATCGAATTTCACTTAGCAAAGCTAATTAACAGTAATACTTACACGCCACCCAGCTTGTATTTGGTCACGGCCATTTTGTACCTTCACGATGGATGCACTCCATTGGTTCGGAAGAACCTTTGAATTATAAATACTACTTGTTGTTCCAGCTCCTGAAATTTCGAAATCCGGATCATTTAGCGTTTGTCCTAGAGCAAACTAAATGTGCAAAGCAGAATAAGTAACAAGATATGCTCACATTGATTGATAATAAAATTGCAAGTTCTTAACGAGGTATAGAAACAAATATAAAGGCAAGCCTCATTGAGATTAACGTCCACATGTACCACATAACCAAAATCTTAGAAAAATAAATTAATGCCATAAGAGCTCCACTACAGATGATAAGTGATGATAATAGTGAAGTTACCACTTGGAACATGCTTAATTTGTTGCTTATGTATATAATTATTTCAATTCCCCATCTTAGTAAACTAGGATCAACAAAAACAATTGACAAAGGAGCAGCTTACGTGAAAGATGCCACCAGCATAACTAGCATTAAATCTTCTTTCTCTAATGAGATCTTCTTTGGTAGATCTTCTAATAGGAACTGTTCCCATTGGACAACCTCCATCTCTCAGCCCGAGTTTGGAGGAGCTATTGGATGTTGCGGATTCTTTGTCTCTCTTTAATGGGGAGAAAGACGGTTTCATTTGCATGCATCACGTACAAAATTTCAAGAATGCGAGTTATTCTTACTTTCACAATAAAAGTACTACAGTAATAGTGAATAAGGATCTATATATCAAATAGACATACCTGAGGATGATAAGTATGATTCTTCAGTAAAGGATGATCAAATGCAGGTTGTAGATAAAAATCCATACAGTCATAAATATCTCCATATTCAGTCTACAAAACAATAGAGCTTATTATTGATTTTCAGTATAGATATTTATGTTTAACATCTTTTTTAGCTCTATAAAAAATGACATATATAATTGAAAATATCAGTTATTTCAAGAATGGACTGAAACGGAGAATAAGAATCTACCTTGATAGTTTTTACTGCAGGCTTATTTAAAAGTTTTAGTCGCCTCTCCAATTCATCATGGTCCTTCTTTGATAAGCCCTCAACTTCATCATGGTTGAGAACAACCATGTTGCAATCAAAATCTGTACTACGCTTAGATGCATTCTTGTGGTTTTCATCCTACAATAAATTAAAAATGTATTATTAATTAGGTACAAAAAAAAGCATCAAATTAAACATAAAGACTAATAAGAGAAATGAAAAACTATGACTTATGTGCAAATAGCACATGATAATTCATAAATTCAAGGATGAAATTTAAGAAATAAGAGAAGAAGTACCTGATTTGTTTTTATGGATTGGAATAGTGAATGGTCCTGGAAGAATAACACACTTTATGTAGTAATCTCTGGTCATTTCATACCCTAGTAATTTTGTTGTTCGCATTGATTTACTTTTATTAAATTGATTCTTACATCCATTCTGTCCATATATTAACAGATATGAGATTTTCTCCCTAATTTCTTACATATTTATGACACAATTAGATCTTTGCTAGTTTCGAAACGGCAAATCTTCACGTTATGCAAATATGGCTATAACAAAAATCACCTATTCAATATTTGATATCCAACAGATAAAGTGAATCTAAAAAATCTTATTTTATTGCCTTCCTTGAGTACTATAGGCTATAATGTATGCCTCTGGTGGTTCAAACTCTATAATAAAATTGTACTCCGTAGTACTAAATAATTAACTTTCTAATAGATGAGTTAACACTTGATGCTCATTAAGTTTATATTACATCATTGGCTTATATCAATTTTTAATAACTTATAAGATCATGATTTTGATACTATCGTGTAATATTATATTCAGCAACTGCAAAGATAAGGGAAGAAAATCATAACGAATAAAAGGACAACAAAATAAACTAGGGGAAAAAAAAAAGTTGGATGGGAATGAATGTAATATTTAGCTTGTCTTTTATTGTTTATTTTGTTACGCCATTTATCTCAGGTACTATTAATATTTATGAGTGCAAGCGAAAATCAAAAGAAATTAAATTGGAATTGTCGAATCAATTCGTCACCTAGTAATACCGAAAAATATGGTACACCACGCTTATTCATTTTTAAATTTTGTAGTATTTATTTTTTTTGTATCACTTTTAATCACTGCCAGCGTACAAATTTAACGGGGATTGGAGAAGTTTAATGATATTTTAAGATTGAATTCATAATTATGTAAAAAAGAATAAAAAAGATGGTAGCAAGGTCATTTTAGTTCTGCCAAATTGTTGTGTTCTTGTTACTTCGTGCCAAAGAATCAGAATGATTTCAAAATATTCATTATTTAATTTTATTTTTTGCGTTGATTTTCTTTCACTTTATCAGATTGATTCATCTTACCATTTTACCCTTAAATTAACAAATATGGAATTTTTTATTTTTATATTTTGGAAAAATTAGATCTTTCATACTATATTTATTTTAGATATCCCGGTTCTTAATTATTATTCCTCCTTTAGAGGAGTTAAGATCTTATTCTTATGAGTAACTTATGTTAACATATTTTCTGGATATTTTCGAGTACTTGATGTATGCTACAATCATTTAATAAAAGATTAGAGATCTCAAACCTAACCTTCTCGTTCAGAAAACATGGCAATTCAGATACGTTGACAAAGAAAAAAGAACAAAAATCATATCAGCATTTATAGATACTTATATCAAGTGTTATCTCCTTATGATTTGAGATATCACGTACCCTTCTTAGTTTAGTTTTTCTTTTTATGTCAAATATTATTACCTACTCATCAACCAATCAATAAATCGGCAATCATATATCAACTTGGTGTTTTTTTTCTTAGATCTATAGTAATTCTCCAGCTTTTATTGTACTCCTCCTTTCACAAGTACACTAGTGAATTTTAACGCTTAACACAGTTGTAAAAGTTGTCAGTAAAGTAAGTGTAAATGCTAATTTAGTCTTTGTAATATTAGACTATGTATATTTAACCTTGAGTTAGTTAAACACTCTCTCTATATATATACTAGTTAGAGACCCCTGTGCTAAGCATAGGTCCAACAATGTATTCATGACAGACATGATTTTGTTATCTATATAATGCAAGGCCAAATTTTCCTTTGTTGCACTTGAATCTCAATTCCTTTGTGCGCTCGTACATACAAAACTATAAAGAAGAATTAAAAATACGAAAATTAACAATTAGTAATATTTATGACCGTACAAAGTTACCAAAATATTGAATTAAAGTAGTTGGCTTGAGATCTCAGTGGAAAAAAATCTCTTCCTTTATTAGCTACAGTAAGGATGTCAGCACCAATTGACACCAGTTTAGAACACCTTGATTATCAAAAAGCTCAAAAACCTCTTCTTTTCCTCTATTGACAAAAACTCAGGAATCTCTTCTTTTCCATTAGTGGTTTTGTAGCAGGCTTCTCTTCGGAGTTTCTTAAGATCATGTTGCTCTTCACTGCTTCTTGTAATTCCACATTGTAACCAAGAAGAGGATAAGGAGCAAAGAGATAATAAAAATATATGATGTGTTTGATTAACATCGAAAAGTATGTAATTGGTCTTCCCTGAAAGTTGTATAACGAAAACTAAGAGGAGCACCACCAAGATCTTATTAATTCAAGTCTGCATAAAATAAATCTTTTCTTTTTCTTTGATCTAGAATACGATAAAAACTATAAATATCCCAAGCCTTCGATTAAATATAAGACTATGGGAACTCTCTAAAAGAAGTGCCAATACAGCAGCACTCTAAAAGACAAATTAAAAACAAGAAAACAAATATTTATTTAAATACGATTCATGTCTAGCAAAAGTTTTCAAACATATGATTGAAGACAATAACCTTGAGACCATGAGCTTTGTGATGTTATTGTACATGAGTTAAACAGTCATAGCCGGAGCCACAGAGTCAGAATAACCATCACATGTGTGTATCAAATATCAACCATGGGTCGAGGCAGTAATAAATCATTTCCTGAATAGCCTAATGCTTCATGTCATAGATACCTCTTGATGCATTTCATGGTTCTTTCACGGTGTACTACCTAAGCTAATCAATAGATAATAACTTCCTGATCATCAACCAGCTCGCTTAAAATTTGTCAAGACCTCTTTTTTAGAGACCGTTAAGACCTTTTTTTAACCAAGTATTAGTCTTTAAATCAGCAGTAAGTTCAAAATTATTATCACATTACCTCATCTCAATGTGAATTCTCCCATTAAATGGTTTGGTCATATGCACTACAATGTTAATCCCCAAACAACAGTTTATGTCAACCAGTTACAAAATGAAAAGAGTAATCGAATATTGGATAATTCTTACTATAACCAGAAAAGATGCATGCAAAGAAAAAGATAAGTACTCTGCAACTTTGATTAAATATAAAATATTGAGTGAAATTAAACTATATGGCAATTAGGTGCATCCACTACAAGAAAAAACCTTATTTACGACCAACTTTTAGGGACGAGTAAATAATCACGTCGCTAATAATATATGTATTGGGACGAAATTATATTATAGTCCTTAATGCTTTATTTTATTGCGAAGGTAATAAATCTGGTCCCTCAAAAAAATAGTAACTGGTCCCAAATTATAATTGAGAGGCCTTGAGTGTGAGAGAGTGCTGCCAAATCTAATACCAAAATATTAAAAACTATTTTTTTCTATAAGTTAGGCGCCAAAACTAAAAAGTAAAAGGTTCTAAAAACAAAATTGAACCTCTGTATTCTCAAAACAGAGTGCCGCATAAAATCCGCTGCCCTAATCTCCGTCAAGCTAGCGTTAGAGCCGGTCTCACTTGTCTGGTCGTGTGCGAGCGAAATCGATCAACTGATCTGATCATCTGCCAATATAGTTTCCATCTTCTCCTTTGAGAATCCAAGGTATGCCTCCTCTTTCAAGTTGCTCTTTTTCTTCTTCTTCTTCTTCTTCCATGAATGGCATATTAGTCAGGTTTTGAAAGCTAATTATTCCAAGGTATGCCTCCTTTGAGAATCGTCTGGTTTTGAAAGCTAATTATTCCATGAATGGCATATTAGTTTTATGTATTCAGTGAGGGATTAATCTTGAGGATATTTGGGCTGCTATAATTTTTACTGTTGTTTGCTCAAGTTTGTTGTTTGGGATTTCTTCTATAAACTGATTATTGGGTGCTGTTTCTGAAAGTTTATACTACTTACATTGTGAATACTTTTGTGCAGTTCACGTTTTCCTGAGTTTCGTTGAGCATGCTGATTTATTTTCTCTTGTGTACATGAGCTATATGCCTTTTAGATGTTGAGTTTTCAAGATTTATTGCTATTACTCAGATTCTAAAATTGTTTTTCAATTGTCCAATTTAATTTGTTGGGAATTAGGTCTCAAAGTCTAGATGTATTGATTTCAGCTACATAATTGAAGCTTGTAAGATGTTGAAAAAAATAATTATGGGTGTTTGTTATTCTGTCATCTAGCAAATAAAAATTTCTTTGAGATGAAAACAGAGGAGCCGAGTCGACTAGAAAGTGCGATATTAGAGTTGAACCAGTTGTGTTCATCTGATCGTAACAAGTAGTGTGCATCGTAGTATTTTTCTTATCTTTTATCTTTATTTAATTTAATTTTTATTTACTCTCCAAGATTATGGCACCTAGTAAGCAATGGATGCAACTTGTTGATAATCGGCTCGATGAAGCCTACTTAATCGAAGTGCAAAAGTTTTTGGATTATGCTTTTCAAAAAACAAGAGACGAATATGAAATAAGTTGTCCATGTGTCAAATGTTGTAATACAACTAAACAAATTTGGTGTAGCCAAGTTTGGTGTAGTACCATAATCTCACGGATTACGGACAACACTAAACAAATTTTTTATTCGTGAAACTTCACTGCAATTAGCAAGCGTATTTGCTATAATGTTTTCTTTCCTCCAAGCATGTGAGAATTCAAAGTTAGAGCCTCTAGAGAAAAGCTTATTCTTGTGAATTCTATGAGAAAAGCTCTTAAATTCCTGCTAGATGCCTCTTCTTGTGCTTGTGATATCTGTTTATCCATGCTCGTGAGGAGGTCAGCATGGTCAATCTCCCCTTTTGGAGGTTTTGATCAGTTTCAAGTTTTAAAACAGTATATCACTTTGATAATTGAATAATGGAACACTTAAATTAGACCAACCAGAGTTCATTAGTTTAATTATATTTTCCATCTCTGGCCGTGAGGGAATTTCCATGTGGGATCGCTTGCAGATCTCTTCAAGCTCTATTTGTTTTCTGAGGAAAAGCTCTTTCATCTTGCTTGCTTTTAGCTGATCCAGTCTCCTGACTTCTGTGCCAGCCTAGGAAATTTTGAAACAACTTCAAATCTCTTACCTTGTAGTGATGGAGAATAAATAATCTATAGTTATAAAGACACTGACATTTGAAGCGTATATGCTTGTTATTATGTTATATTAACGATGGATGGCATAGTTCAACTTCATGTTTCGCAACATTATTATCTCCCAAGCAGCTGTTGAAGGAGATGTAAAGTATTTTGGTAGAAGATCAAATTGGTAGTTTGCATTTTTCATTCTTTCTTGCTGTTGATGTCTGTGCAACCTGCTAGAAGATTATTTGGTAGTCTGCGTTTTTCTAGGCTGTGAGATGTATTCTGAAACATATTTGACTTTACTACAGGGAAATAGCGAAACATCTTTCCCTTCCACCTGTTAAGCACTGTAGCATGCTTGCGGGGGATGCAATTAAGGCTGCAGATACGCCTTAATTATATAATTTTATCAATAGTATTTATCATCTTTTCAAACTTTTGTACTTACAGGTTTTGAAGATTGAAGCTACAAGTCAAGATGCATACAAGTTTTGAAGATTGAAGCTACAAGTCAAGATGCATACAGGTTTTGAAGATTAAAGCTACAAGTCAAAATGCAAATTTAGAAGATGCACAAGTTCATTATTATTTTGCTAGGGCTGTTATACAAAACTTGATATCATAGTCTAGCTCAGGATGTTAGCTAGCTAAGTTTTTTTGTTACGGTGTTGAGTAATATTGAAACTAATTAACATCATCATGGGATGTTAACTTGTTATATTATATTTTTATATCTAGATTTTTCTATAACAATTTGATATTTATTGGTAAAAACAACTTTTGGTGGTATCGAGTTTTAGAACTACTTATGGTCAATAAGAGGCCAAAAATATTGTCGCCAAATTACACCAATTATTTTAATTTAAATAGGGACCTTGTCTCTAAAAGATAATCTGGGACGACCAGTTAAAGGTTGGTCGCTAAAATGGTTTAACGATTGAAATATATTTATTTTTCACGACCAGATTCTTTGTCCATCTTTAAAAGTATTTTACGACCAGATTTCTGCCCATCTCTAAAAGATAATCTAGGATCAGTTGAAGGTTGGTCGCTAAAACGCTCTAACGACGAGGGTATATATAATTTTCATCGCCTTTTAAGGACGAGATGCGCAGTCTCTAAAAGCATTTTACGACCAACATTTGTTCCCGTCGCTAAATAAATTAACGGCCAGGTTTTTGGACCCGTCGCTACTGCCTTTTAGCGGCGGAAGCTATTACGACGGGTTGCGACCAGCTTTCGCCCGTCGTTATTTCTCCTTTGGGGACCAGATTTGGACTTTTAGGGACCAAATTTCCCTTCTTTAAAGACCGTTTTTCTTGTAGTGATGACTTTGCACAGACATCATTGTCACTACTACTTATTTGGTGCATGAGACACTGGAAAAAAAAAAAAATTAGCAAAAGCTTTCCACAAGAAATCATCATTTATTATCCTTGAATCATGAGTCTGTAATTTCTAGGAAATAAATAAAAGGGGAGCGAATAACTAAATATAAATCATCTAAAAGAAGACAAATGGTAATTATATATGCACAAATTGCTTTACTTCCAGGTCTGCAATAAAATCAGAGTTGAATTGAGATGGAAAAAAGTTAGCATTCAGTATGCTAATATTTGAACGTGTACTTGATTCGATTAAACTACTGAGGACATCCGTTCAAATAGTATTTATCAAACTTAAAAGATAAAATAACTAAATACATTTAATGAACATTAATATAAATCAAGAAGATTGCTTTGATTTGCACAAATTAGTAAACGTGTGCTTGTGCTTGCCTTAGGAATGCATTTGTTTTGTTTTCCTCTTCTTTTCTGCTTGTCGAATTGTTACATTCATCATCACGTACATATTTTATTTGTCTAAAGAGAAAGTAATTATTTTCAAAATAAGACCTACCACTATTTTACTCAAACAAAGTAATATGCTTTAACAATACCCAATATTCCAGTAATAGTATCTCGGGTATCAATATATACCTTTAATTCTTTTCATGTCGTGTGAGACACATAGATAGTAGGCGCTCTCAACTAAAAAAGCAATCCATACTCTACTATTCTAAGTAATCCATCACCCAGAAGTATAGAACATTGAAGAGCTTAGACATTTTTCTCTTTTTCTGTATTCACACACCTCATTTTTTAAATTCCCTAGTGACTTTAAAATGCTTCCTTCTAGTGAAACATCAATTCCTATCCTACAACATTTAATCAAGTTCATGAGTAAGTCGTAAATAAGTAACCTTATACCTAAAGTCACACCTCCTTTTTCTATTCCCGGAAGGGTATAAGGGAGTTTTTCCAATTTAAGTGACAATCGAAACGGAATTATTTATTTAAGATTCAGAGTTGCCACTTGGGATAATTTATAGTGTCCCAAGTTACCGATTTTAAATCCCGAATCGAGGAAAGATTGACTCTGTTTATGGTCAGCAAAACACAAAAATTCGGGTAAGGAATTCTGTTAATCCGGGAGAAGGTGTTAGGCATTCCCTGGTTCCGTGGTTCTAGCATTGTCGCTCAACTATTAATATTAGCTCAATTATCTGACTTATTACACGTTTTTAACCTATTATGAATTTTTAAACTTTTTAGCCGCTTTTAATATTTCGAAACAATTCAAGGTTATTAAAAACACATCGTAAGCCACGCTACATGAAATGCACCCGTTGTTCATGACACGTTCTAGTTAACCTTGTTGGAAATTAGAATCGGGTCACATGAAATGTACACCCGGATTTTAGTAATTACGAATCACAACTACGTCACGGGAACCATACCCGTAGCCATGATAATTATTTAGTTAACGCGCCTAAAGCAAACTACAAAATTCATTTTTTTAGTATCTAAGTTACAAAATTAATATGAGGGTCATACGTGATCTAAACGTGGATGGCACACCTCGACCCATTTTTAAGAAAATTAACTAAGGTCACCTAAAGATACTTGGATTTCACCTAAATTAAGTTCTATCTAAAGTTACTATAGGCAACCCACACGGAAGTATTATATTTCAGCACTAAATGTTTGGGTCAAATTCCAGACTTGTAATAAGTCCAGGAATGGCAAGAACTTCTAAAAGGGGAACTGGGCTCAAGAAAAAGCCCAAGATCGAAACTGAAACTGCAGGAAGCATCAAGGGCTAAACTGGGCCAAATACATAGCCCAAGCATGCGATTTATTGTAATTATTCAAAGAGAATTTCATTATCATCTTGAGATCAAACCATGTATTAAACAAAATATAAGGGAAACAATCAATCAACATAAAGCTAAAATGCCCCATCTTGAGACTGGGCCGCCTGAATTTGGGCCCATGTCAAACTCATTTGAAACTCAACAACTTTTTTCTTTACCCTATTGAGGCCAAAATACTTTGCAGCATTTAACTAAATGGTAAGGCATATTCTAAAGCCAAACCACATTATAGTATTAATGAAGTAGCACTTAGTATTGTAACAACCAATACATAACTCATTCATTATCAAAACATAATAGAATTTTCAACTTAGAGCAAAGTCACATGATTTCAAAAAAAAAAAAAATTGGTTGACTAACATGGATTCACTCTTGTCTAATTCTAATCATCTAATCATGTATATTTACAGAATTAATAACAAATCATGCTGAAAATGTTCAATTGTTTAAACTTAGATGGCAACCTCACCAGCCATAGTATAATAGTCCCAAAATTACAACTAAAACGTTACACAAATTTGAAACATGAATATTTGACTTCCAAGCTCACTAAAGAAGAGAGTACAAGTACCAATACTCAACCACAACTAGAGAAACAATAATTACCAAACCAACAAACATGTTAAATGCTAACAAAACAGAAGATAAGATCTGAATAATCCATTTCTACTTAAACCATATTATACTTCAACTTGTCATTTCAAGAGTTGTGACAATACTTAGATACAGCCAAAAACAACAAAAAATCCCAGCAAGATGATAATGATCAACCGGATTTAACAACAGTAATCAGCAGCAGGACAATCAGTTCAATCCATATTTAGAATCCAAAACTAGTGAAATATTTGAAGCAAGGAGAAAACCAGACGAAAACATAAACCAGCTACTTCAACAAAACAATATTTGAACCCCCTTTTTTGGTACTTTCCAGTTCTGGAAGTCTTTTTCTTTTTCAATGTGTGTTTTTAGAATTTTAGGTACAGAGAATAGTGCTTCAAAATTTGTTTTTTGAGGGTGAAGGAAAGGGCACTTCTTATAGGCCTCTCAAGCCATGTGCTTAAAACAGAAATGAGAATTATTCCCAGCCTGCAAAAGGGATCTTTTTAACTAACTGGGACAACTGGCTATCCCTTATTGGCTCAGCACATTTGTGCTAACCAAATAGGGACAGCTGCCCCTCTATTCTAGAATATTCTAACATGAAATTATCTGATTTCAAAATCATTTAACCCTTTATGTCCCCCTTAAGTTTCTTTACTTACAAATAAACCCCTACAAATCCTTAAGAATTGAAAAATATGGCAAACAAAATCAATCAACACAAATAACAGCAAACAGATCAAAAACAAAGATTGAACATCTAAAAAATATAATCCTAAAACCTCCAAAATAGAAAGAATTGAAATTGCTCTTCGGACTGACCTTCTTGGTGATTAAAATAGACTAAACTAGGCTAACTCATTGAGGCAACTTGTTTAAACTAAACTAGTCAAAAAACAAATTAGGAGAATTTAAGATGCCTAAAACTAACATTAATGAACTATATTGTTTATTATATACCTATTTCAGAGTTAGATTAACCAACGGGTCAAAGCGAAATAAACAAGGATAACTAAAACTAAAGAGAAGCTCGACATGCACTAAAGAACTAGGGTGGTTAACATGAATTAAACCAAATAAAACCCTAATGACCCAAAGATTACGGCCTCCTGAACTACTTAATTTGGTCACAGAAATGACATACTGGAAAACGGGATGAAAAAAGAGAAGAAGATAAACAAGAGAATGATAACATAGAGAAAAAAAGAGAAAAGAAGAAGACGTGAGGAATGTACCTATACTGGAATGGGAAACAAATGGCTCAAGTGGAATCGGTCGTCTCTGATTTAAGTCGCAATAGGTGTTAGGTGACTATTCTCGTCGAGAACAGACAGATAACACCCATTTTCCGGCTTAAATCTTCTTTGGAAAACCCCAATTCGTATGACCTAGGCTTTACATGTTCTCAGATCTGAAATTGAAACGACATAGGGAAGAATTGAAGGAATTGTTTTGGGGATTTAGAAAGGGGAAAGGATGGGGGTTGACTGGTGAAAATTTGAGGCCATTTGGAGAAATTCCCCCGCCATGAGGCGATTTCCGGCTGTAGAGGGTGGTGGAGGTGATGGGGAGCTTGGGGGCGGCTAGGGTTTTTCTTTAGATTTGGGGTTAGAGACAAATGAGGGAGATTGGAAATGGGAGGAAACTAATTCAGACAGTAATATATCAATTGAGTGACCAGTTCCGGGTCGTTGGATCATAATGATCCAAACGGTCGTGATGAGATCAGGGCAAAACGGGGTTGTTTTGGTTTAGTGGGGGCCTGGGCCGGGTAAATGGCTCTTGGGCTTGGATTTTGGAGCGGGTTTGGGCGAAGATGTTTGGGTTTCAACACCTTTCGACCCAATTAAAAAAATCCTTTTTGCTTAACCTTTTATTTCCGTTTCTTTTGTTTTTCCTTTTTCCTTTTCTTTTTTTTTCTTTAATTAAAAATCTAAATTAAAATCCTAAATTAATATAGATTGTAAAACTAACCAATTTCCTAAAAATTATA